GGGATAGCCACATGGCTGATTTGTAGCCTGATCCTGGGATAGCCACACGGCTGGTTTACAGCCTGATCCCGGGATAGCCACATGGCTGGTTTGTAGCCTGATCCTGGGATAGCCACATGGCTGGTTTGTAGCCTGATCCCAGGATAGCCACATGGCTGGTTTACAGCCTGATCCCGGGATAGCCACATGGGTGGTTTACAGCCCGAACCCTGGATAGCCACATGGCTGATTTACAGCCTGATCCTGGGATAGCCACACGGCTGATTTGTAGCCTGATCCCGGGATAGCCACACGGCTGGCAGTTGGGATCACCCCACAGCGAGCAGCTCTTCCTGTGGGGTGCAGTTTGTCCCTAACTCTGAACCATTCCATGATCCTGCCCTTTGCACATTCCCATTTTCCTCCTTCCCTCTGCCAAAGCAGCTCCGTGTTTCTGCAGGAAGAGCTTTCCTCGGGAAAAGCCAGCTCAGGGAAGGACGCTGCACGAGCGAGGGACGCGGCCGCTCCGTCAGCCCTTCCGCTGAGCTCAGCCCCCCGCGCGTCTGAGTCACGGAGGAACCGCGTCCAGGACGGAGCCGGCTCCGAAAGGGCACCGGAGCTCTTCCGTCCTGTGCTGGCAGAGCCTGCGGGCTCCCGGCCCCGCCGAGCGGGGAAATGGCTCTCCCAGGAGCGCGCTCACCGCGCAGATGTCGGCTCTGGAAACGGCTCACGGCTCCCTCAGACACAACAGGATGTCAACAGCAGCGTTAACATCCAGCTGGGCGGGCTGGGGAGGTGCCTAATGCTAAAAGGGGGTGAAAACTTCCTGCTGAGCAAGGGGAAAGTGGGGAAAAAGGGGTTTGGGGTGGTTGGAACCCAAAATGCTCCAGCGCTCCACGGCACCAACGGGTAAAAATCAGTGCTCGTTAATAGTTGTTTCTTTAAAAATCATTGTTTCGGGTCATTGGTCCTTTAAAACCATCCCAAATCATGGAATAASTGTCCACTGATCCTAAAATACTCTGATGAAAAGCGGGGACATCTCAAGCTTTGGCATATTTGCTCATTATTTTCCAATCTATTATTTTCTTGTTTCCCTCCAGCACAGTCACACCACTTCCCCTTCTCCTTGACCATTCCACAATGGACATTTTGTGCAATTCCCATCTTTTCTGCACAGCAAAAATATAATTTGGAAACCTCCAGCATGCACACACCACTTCCCTTTCTCCTTGGCCATTCCACGATGGCCATTTTGTGCAATTCCTGTCTTTTCTGTACAAAAATGCCATTTGGAAGCCTCCAGCACGGACACACCACTTCCCTTTCTCCTTTGGCCATTCCACGATGGCCATTTTGTGCAATTCCTGTCTTTTCTGCACAAAAATGCCATTTGGAAGCCTCTGTGCAGTGCAGATGTGAAACAAAGCATTAATTGGAGCTCACATGTGGAGCACATGGCTGAGGCTGGCTGAAGGATTCATTTCTTGTTAGGTTCAAGAAATCCGACAGATTTTTCCRACCCAATCACCAGGCGGTTGAGTGAATAATTTTGAAACCACTTGGCTGAGCCCGAGAGGACATTTGGGAATAATTATCATCAATTTTGTTACTTATTCAAGCTGAAAAACCTCARTGATGGCTTGCTGGAGTCATTCAAAAACAACAACCGGGACAGCGTTACATAAAGGTTGGAATCTTTTCGGACAAACATAAATTCCTGCTTTCATTCCAGGCTATCCAGGCGAAATTTTATGACCTGTGCTACACAGGTCAGAACAAAATCTGACCTTGAAACCAGTTCATGAATCAGAACAAGGGATGAGCCAGTTCATCCCAAAAAAAAGGGGTAAATCCGGCTCCTTTTAAGGTTCGGATGGCCATAAATGAATATTTCTGGGATTCACCCTGCACAGGGCGGCTCTAATTCAACCAGACAGATGCACTGCAAAATTGTCCTGGATAATGAGCGGCAGCCAGAGTTCTCCAGGCTCCTGAGGCAGATCTCAGCTGGGAGAAGCTCCCAGTTCTGCAGATTAGTGGGGCTGGCACTGGGGTGGGTTTAGGGGGTGAGGGATGGGGAGTGCGGAGCTGCCCTGTTCAATCCTGGGGAACAGAAGGACCCAGCTCCCTGTGGGATGCAGGAMACACCCAGGGAATGAGGAGCTGCAGAGGGGGATGGAGMRGAGCTGGAGCAGCCTGAGAGAGCCCCAGGCACAGCTGAATTAGGGGAAGATCAGCACTGAGCCCTGAACCTCTGGCTCATGGGGCTGCAGCAGCCGCCGAGCTCTGCCTGTGCCCCCAAACCCCGCTCGGGCAGGAGAAGCTGCAGCTCAGGGCCAATTACCTGGGATTTCTCCACCGAGGCTGTGTGCTTGTCACACATGGGGCTGATCTCCATGCCTCTCTCCCGTTCTTTGTCCCCCTGCTGGAAGAACTCCTCCATGATCCTGTCCGTCCACTGCCGGTAGAGCTCCAGAGATTTTGTGGGATTACTCAAGTCTGCGCAATGTACCATATTCCGGAGAACCTGCAATTAGAGCCGTCAGGAAACTCATAAAATCAGCTGGAAAAAAAAAGGGAGAGCTGTATCTGCAGAACGTTTCACCAGAAGACTCTGTGATTATGAAACACCATAAAAATATCGGCATTGTTCTGTGGTGCCACGTGAAAATCCTGGAGCTGCTGGAGCAAGCCCGGAGGAGGCCCCAGAGCTGCTCCAAAGCTGAAGGGGCTCCAGGAGAGCTGAGAGGGACTGGGGACAAGGGATGGAGGGACAGGACACAGGGAATGGGGTCACACTGCCAGAGGGCAGGGATGGATGGGATTTTGGGAAGGAATTCCTTCTGGGAGGGTGGGCAGGCCCTGGATCCCTGGCAGTGCCCAAGGCCAGGCTGGAGCGCCCTGGGACAGTGGGAGGTGTCGGGGTGGGATGAGATGAATTTAAAGTCACTCCCAACCCAAACCATTCTGGAATTCTCTGATTCTCTCCCCATGGATGAGCTCAGCTGCCACAGCCCCCAAGCCAGATGTGCTCTGTGCTGCTCAGCCCTTGCTCCTGGTGCATTTGTAAAGTGGCCGTGACACCACCCAGGTTTGTGTGTGACACCACCCAGGTTTGTGTGTGAACCCAGCTGCTTCCCACCATCCCAAATCCACCTCCCTGCTCCCATGGAAAGAGCTGAAATGCTCCCACTTGGTGAAATGAGTAATATCCCTCCACACACATAAACGAAACGGGCCTGACTAAGCGGCCACAAGGATTTGGGCAGCAAAACAGAGGCTGAAATAAAAATGTAAAGAGTTTTCCCATGGGCCTGCTCTGCAGAAGTTGGTCAGCAAAGTGGAGAGCAGAGCAGGATGTGTCTTGTCCTGCTCACCACCTGACCCTGTTCCAGCATTTCCTGGTGTTTCTGTAAATCAAGGATCAAATTATTTAGGGATCAGAACTAATTCCAGCTCGCTGTGGGTTGYTTTAGATAGGGAGTTCCAAATTAAATTCTTGCAATGATGTAATGGGAGAACAAATGGGAGAAGGCAGCAGGGAAATTTGGGAGCCCTCAAAAAATGACCTCAGAATGTGCCATGTTTGCAGCTCCATGCTCCAAGTGTTAAAACTCCCTAATTCTGGTCACCTAAAAAATCTGGGACCGCCTTGTTCTTYCTTTCAGTGCAGCAGAAAATGAATGCTGAGAATTTAGGTCAGTAGCTTCTGTCTGTGGTCTAATAAAAGCTGCAAGAGCAAGGTTTCTTCATCCTGACCAGAACACCCCAAATCCAGGGAATTTGGCTGCCTCACCTGTATTCTGTCTGTGTAGTTGTCCAGAAGGAGAACTCCTGAGCTTGTCACCTTCTTGGTTTCCACCATGGTCTTCAGATCAGCCAGCAGACTCATGTGCTTGGACATATCGGTGGCCAACACCTTTCCAGAAGGGGAAAAACCAGAATTTCAGGAAGGGAAGCCACAAAAAAACCTCATTTTTGGTAAATTGAGGATCAGGGCAGCTCGTACCATGTCTATCACCATCTTGCGGAGGGTCTGGCGCTGTTTCTTGGTCAGGTTCTGGAAGATGTCGCAGTGCTCCTCCTGGAGCAGCTTGAAGCCCACAGCGAGGTGATGGTTCTCCAGCACGGATTCATCGTTGTACATCAGGGCCAGCTCAGAATCTGGGCAAGGAATGGCAAATGTGGGTTCCAGCCTGSTAAATGTGGGGTTTCCAACAGCGAGCGCCTGTCCTGGGCTGCAGTGTTTTAATAGGGAAAAGTTTCTGTGCCCCATCCCTAGAAGGGTTTGGAGCAACCTGGGACAGGGAAGGTGTCCCTGCATCATTTTGGGATTCTGGGATTCTTTTTAGCCCCACTAGTGCCAACCCCAGAATTTTGCTCAGTCCTAGTGACAAAATAATGTTCAGCTGGCTCAGTTATAGAATCACTGACAAGAGAATCCTGCAAAAACTCTTCCCAAAACACACCAATCCCCACGTTTTGGAATCCAGATCCACTCTCAGCCTGCGGCAGATCACAACATGAAACTCAATATTTGGCTTTCTGGTTGTCAATAGCAACAGGATGATTTATCTTATCTCAATGGTAGAGTATGCACTCGGGCCTGGCAGAATTATGATGGGTTAGCAGCACTAAATATTGACTTTACAATTGGGCTGCAATGGCTCCCTTTGTCAGGGATTGCATTTTAATTCCTGCAATATTCCAAAATRTCTCACTCGTTTACTGTGAAATATTTGAGAGGGCAGTGCAGCCTGGAAGTCATGGAAAAAGCACAAGTTCCCAAGCTGGGGTGTGAAATTCTGAGTGGCTCAGGTGAAAACTCACTTGTGTTGATCAGGAATTGGTTGGAGACCCCGGGGTGATCCACATCGTGGATTGCGGCCGCGAAGATGGCAGCGAGGATTTCCAGATCYGTGAAGACAGCCTAGGAAGGAAAACCAGGAATCTGTCAGAGGGGATTGATCTCCCAACAGCGGTAGAAGCTGATTTAGGGGAACAAATTGTGCTTTTCCAATTGGATTTTTGAGACAAGGCAAAGCAGATCCGGATGCTGAGATKCCCTAAAAGCAAAGGCTCTGGAGCMACGCGAGCGCTGGGAAACGCCTTCAAACCCAACCCACAACGGTGGCAGAGCTCAGAGCATCCCACTCACATCCAGGGCTGGCGTGGAGAGCAGCACGTGGGTGGACTGGGCCACGTCGGCGGCGTGCAGGCTGTTGTGGTAAGCCACGTCCGAGTGGTAGTGATCCTCCAGGGTCATCATGTACGTCACAAACGTGTCCGACGAGATCTTGAACGTCTTCAGCAGGTCCCGCTCCTGGGGGATCAAACACAAACATCTCAGTGAGGGTCAGACTGTGCTGGACAGAGGAGCAGAGAGGAATTAGGGATGGAAATCCTGCTGGGAGCAGGGTTCAGGTTGGGAATACACACCTGGAATATGGCGTACATGATGCAGGTCAGCGGSCGGTTGTGCGAGTACCTGGCCACGTTGAAGATGTTGAGGCCCCACTTGTTCAGGTCTTCCAGCTCCTTTGAGAGAAMAAAGAGAGAAGGATTTGATGCTTTTCCAGGCAATTCTGCATTTCCCAAAAGCTCACAAATATGCAAATTTAATGATTATTGTAATTAGGTAAGTGCTGAATATGTGCACTTAATGAATGCAGAGTAACTGTGAAGGGTTGGTTTTGTGTTTGCTAATTGCTCTCCTCAGCCTTCATTATATATTTTTTTTAATTTTAGGGCTATTTTCAAGTATTTTTAAATATAAAATATGCTGTTGTGGCCTGTTACCATTAATTAAAAAACTACATCACTCCAGGGATACCAATTCCAAGGGGAACAATCCATTCCCAGATTCCAGATTCTCAAGAAAAGCAGGAATCTCTCCTACCTTGGCCAGATGATCTTCCTTCTCCGTTTTCACCCCGAATCGTGAGATGCTGGTGTTGTTCAAGCTSGAGCTGTGCATTAATTTCTTCACTCCGCTGATCTGTGTCATGAGCTGCTGCTTTTTYTTCTTCTCCCTGTCCTTCTGGGTGGGAGAGGGGATCTCCACATCGTTCTGCTTGTCTGCAATAAATCAGGGGAAATGAGTCAGCACGCCCTGAGCTCGCAGCACATCCCCCAAACCAACCCTCGAGCTGCTGCCTCTGCACCCCGCTGCAAACTGAGGCTTCTGCTTGGGGTTTCTCTCATTTTGAGGCCCAAAAATTAAAAAAAAAAAAAACAGTCACAGTCTGGTTGCTCTCTGCAAGGCCAGGCTGCTTTCCTTGTAGCCACTCTGGGGTTTGGGGACATGGGACATGCCCAGGAATGTCTCTCTGTGCATGGATTTGGCACTTGGGGACAAAGATTAGTGCTGGGAATGGCAGTGCTGAGGGAATTGTTGGGTTCCATGGTGATTTTGTGATTTTTTTGTGCCTGAAGGGCACCAGGTTAAGCTTAGGGCGAGCTCCTAATTTATTACCTATTTTMAGGGAAATAAACTAGATGTTCAAACAACACATTTTTCCTGAATAGAATAAAACCAGATCTGTTTTTCCTATTTTCACCTTTTAGGGTCAATACTCCCTGCTCTTAAACCAGTGAGTGTCACTGATTTATTAAAGATTTATCCTTCATAAAGCCACATGGAATAACTTCCAAAGCAAAGGCCACATTCCCGTTGCTTTTCTCAGGGATAATCACTGTCCTGTCCCTCCTTGCCCCAGTAAAACCAAAAGGCTGAATGAATTCACCCAATCTGGGTYTAATATCTCTGAATTATCCCCATCTAACACTGTTTGGTGATAAATCAGGGTCCTGCTCTCTTATTTCTTTTTGTTTATTCATTCAACTTCCTCCCTTGTAGACTCCTGTTATTTTGGGTGCTCATTCAATTTAATTAAATTTTAGAGGGAAAAAAGCTAATTCATAAAACCCATARCAGCATGACTTCCTGAAACAGCTGATGATCCTTTTAAAAGCTTCCCTTTTTTTTTTTAATATGAGCAATCAGCTGCAATCTGGCCCAATCTGGAGAGCCTGTTTTTTTTCCAGCAGTGCCAGGACCCTGGGTGGCCTCACTGCCACCAAACACGGGGATGTCACTGTCACCGAGAACATGGGGGCAGCAGGACAGGATGGACAGAGCATGGTCCAGCCCTGCCAGGGAAATGGAGCTGAGCCAGCCTGGAAATGGGGAAGGGCAGGAATTGAAAGATGTGGAGCTGCTGGAGAGAGCCCAGAGTGGAGCCTGGAGAGATTCCAGGGCTGGAGCCCCTCTGGAGCCRGGCTGGGAGAGCTGRGRGTGCTCMCCYGGAGAGRAGAAGGATCCAGGGAGAGCTCAGAGCCCCTTTTGGGGCCKAAAGSGGCTCCAGGAGAGCTGGAGAGGGACTGGGGACAAGGGATGGAGGGACAGGACACAGGGAATGGGGTCACACTGCCAGAGGGCAGGGATGGATGGGATTTTGGGMWGGAATTGTTCCCWGGRRGGKKGGSMRGSCCYKG